TCTCCAGAGCTTGGCAGTGAATATCTCTGTTCTTTTTTAACCCAAGCATCTCTGGGTGATCCCACTTGTCTATTACAACCACATATAAACTTTACAACTACTTTACCCTGGTCTCTTCTTTAGTCAGGTAATTGACATTTATGGATTAGGAGGAAATTAGGGCCTGAGAGAGAAAACTGTGGGCCTGATTTCCTTGCCAGGACCAGAGCTCAGTGGAGGAGATCCTCAAGCCAAGAATAGAATAGGATCTCATACTTATAGTTGGTGCTGGGACAGGTAAACTCCATGCTCAATTGTGTGATAATTGGTTAGGAAAATATATAGTAAACTCTTTTCTTTTAAAGGAAGAATTGTATTTATTTAGTCTTTAATGGGTAAATCACTGAAATAAGGATTCACAGATTTGTCTACTTCAGTTCTTGTGGTAAGAATACATTAGATGTAACATCCTAAAACATTTTTAATTTACAATATAATATTGTTACCTATAGGCACAATATCGTACAACAGATGTCAAGTGAAATTAAAAAAAAAATTAAACATTGCATACATAGCCAAGAGCGTGAAATTATAAATGTACAACTCATTGAATTTCCCAGAGTCAGCATACTTATGTATTTCTCATCTAGATCTAGAACGTTACTAGTACCCCAGAAAGTTCCCCTAATAGCCCTGTTAAGTCACCACAAGACAGGGAAGCCTATTTTTGTTAGTTCCCAGCCAGAATTTTTACATTTCCTATAGAAGCAGTGCTAAAAGAGATTTTTATTTCATAGAATTGCTACTAATTCAAGCAGTTTCTATGAGAAGAGTGTATTTTGAACACTGAGCTTCTGACTTTTGGGACATGGTCCTTGGTAGGTCAAGGATCAAGCCTATACTATCTACTTTTGTCTGGCCTGGACCCTGATTTTCTCTAATTGCTGGTTTAGAAAGCATGCTTTCTCTACCCTGCCCAGCTGCTTAATAATTGAGTAGGGTGAGGCTTCACAACTGGGAGAAGGAAAAGACAAGGGTGATTTATAAAGGGGCAGTTACTACAAGAGTTCACTCAGCTAATTTAGAGTTAATTATATTTGAGATGGTTTTAGCTTAAGTTTCTCTCTCTCTCTTTTTTTTTAACAGGACCGTCATAGCTGGTATTATTTATGTACCAGTGACTTGCTAAAGCACAGGGGCACAGGGCAGCTTGTGCAATTAATCTCTTGCATTGGACAGAAACAGTTGTTCTAATTTTATTTTCATCTAAGCTTGGATCGTGTCAGGTTGGTCAAAGCATTAAGTCGAAGGACAAAGTTCAAGTGTTTATGGCTGTATTATTTTAAAGCTGATTTGTGAAATAGGAGGAAATATTTCCAAGAACCAGGGTTTTGCCAATTTAGGAGCTGTGGGGTACCGAAGAAACAGCATTTAACTGCATTGTCTTAACGATAAAATCTGTTAAAATTGTATTTGGGCTAGTAAATCTGATATTTATATCTATGTTTGAAGATTTTTGATTTACTTGTAAGCATTTCTTGGTGCCAACAAAAATATTTTCTTTCTCTTTCTACCCTGTACTTTGATGTCTAATACATAGTATCTCCTATATATTGATTGAATTGCATACTTTTTCCTGTGAAAAGTTTGTACTTAGGGTGAATTGAATCAGTAATTCTGACCCTCCATAGTCAATATATGTCAAGAAGGAAGGAATATATTTTTAATAGTGATATTTTTGACATCTAATTTTATAATTATACCCATTTTTGGATTTTGTGTGCTTACTAAGGTGCTTGCACACATTTATATTTTATGAACAACTGTTAGCTTCCTGTCACTTTTGTTTGTCTTAATTTTTGTACAAATGTGTCTATCACCTACTTTAATAAATAGAACTTCACAGAAACATTCTTGGGAGCTACCACTCTGATTTTGATGTTTACTTTTGTATATTTACATGTTCCCTACACATATATATTATCACGGTTATGTCTACACTTGTATATATCCTTAAACAACAAATACTATTTATAGTTTTATGTTTTTCAAAACCTATAACAATATCACCTTCCATTTATCATTATTCTTAGTTGTATGTTCATTCTGACATTAACAAGTTAGCTAAATTGGTGAATGTTCAAGTTAATTTCTTTAAATTCCTGTATGGTACTCACTGTATATATCCGTCATAGTCATTTATTTATATCTAGTTTCTCTTTAGTAGAACTTTAGTTCGATCCCTCTATTTTGTTATTTCAGTCACTGTGGCTCTCCTCCCATATACTGTGCACAGTATATAGAATATAGTGGAAAAGTGCTTTCCCAAGTAATGAATGTGAAAGGGAAAAGGAATGTGGAAATACTATTTTAAGAAATACGTTGATAACTTATCAATTCCTTCAGGCAAAAATCATCAATAGATGCTAATATTATTGGTTGAGAGTTTGAGAACAGGGTTATTTATGTAGTCTTGACGTTTCTACCATTTATAATACTTAAATGTAACAAGTATCTACTTAGTAATCAAAAAGAGAACAAGTAACTTACATAGTAAGCATTTACTACCTTAAACCAAGATTAAAAGTTAAACATCATCAATCATGGACCAAAATGATGTCAGTGCCCGCCCCCACCCCCACCTTGAAGCACTGGGAAGGATACAACATCACTTGAGAAAACATCAGATTACCTGAAGTTGAGAGACAATCTATAAAATAAATGGATCATATTCTTAAAAAGTGTCAGTGTTTTGAAAGACAAAGAAAGGTTGAGGAATTTTTTTGTGTTATGAAAGACTGAAGAGTTGGCATGTAATTGTAATGTACAATTCTGTGTGGAATCCTGAATCAGAAAAGGGTGCTGTAAGGATTTGTTAAGATTTCACTAAATCTGTAGATTAGGTCCTAGTATTGCGATTATGTCAACTTTTCTGGTTTTTGATAATTGGATGTGACATGTCCTGAGGGAATCTATGGTGAAATATTTGGGGGTAAAGGGTATGGTGACTCAGATAAAAAAAAAAGGTGTAGAAAAAAAGTGTAGTTTTATATATGTAGAGAAAGAACAATCAAGATGTGAAGAATGTTGATGATTAGTGAATCTGGGTAAACAATTGTTGCAGCTTTCTGTATATTTAACATTTTTGAAGGGATATCTTTCTGAGGAATACATGGGGTTGGATATGAATATATCTAAATTTTCTAGACAATGAAAAATTGTTTCCATTGTAGTTGCATTAATTACATTCCCACTAGCTCACATCTTCAGTTGATGTTGCCAATGTGTCTCATTGTGGTTTTAGTTTGCATTTCTCTATTTATGGTAAAGCTGAAAATGTTTTCAAATGTTTATTCATTAAGGTTTATACTTTTATGAATAACTTGTCATATTTTAGCTAGTTTTCCCCATACCCCGGGTTCTTTAATTTTTTCTTATTTATCTAACGCATACTGAAAATTGATTCTTTGTCAATTAGCAATGTTGCAGTTATCTCCATACTTTCAAGAGAGGATTAGGGAAAATATGTAATTGAGTTGTATTTTATTTGAGTTACAAATAAAGAGGGTAAAGAGGTAGAGAAACTATTGCAGCCTGGCTTCTGTTTATTGACCTCTTCTCTCCTGGCTCAGTTAATAATCTGAGGCAACTTGAACTTGCATTAGTATTTCTGATCCATCTGAAAAGGTTATTTTTAGAAAGCATGTCCACTGTCTTCAGCGTGTTTCATTCAGAGATTTGCCTAACGACTTGTTCCTTCTCCCCCTTCAGACTTAAAAATGATTATATATTGCTAAATAATGAAACTCTTGCACACCATCCTATTAGCCTGTACTTGGATTGAGTAACCTCAAGCAAGAATGATAGTAATAATTCAGTAGGGACACTATTTTGTGTTTTGTCCCAATTTCTGTGACCTGCCTCAAGAAAGGAAGGTGGGAGGCAGAAAGGCTGAGCAAACTGTTTATTGCTCCGGCCAGCAGCTGAGAGGGAGCCCCTAGAGTAGGGTCTGCAGCTACTGCCAACTCAGTAAGTGGGAAGGGTCTTTTATATAGATGCAGGTTCACATTCCAAAAGGTTGACTCATCGCTGTGCCCCCTGGTGCTAGGCCCAGTTCCTCCCACCTGTATGCTAGGCCCAGTTGTTATCCTCTTCAGCTACTCCCATATCAAGCTCAGATGCAAGGCTCAATTCTTTCCTTGTCAGTAAATCTTTGGTTCCCAACAGTTTGGTTTATCTTGTAATATTACTAGACTGTTTTCAGAGATGATGAAAGAGCTGAAATCATAGAGACTTGACTATTGAAAAAGATAATCTAATAATCATGCTGTTCCAATTCTTAAGGGGGATGAGATATTAGATTTACTTGGGGGTAAAGCAAAACAAACAAAAACCAAAAATGACAACAAAAAAATTAACACTAAAATCTCAAAACTTTAGCCTTATAAGGAAACCAAAAACTCCACCTTCATCCCACTTGCAAGGGACATTAAGTTGGTGACTTAACTAGTAGTGCCATAGCTGGCTGGAGGTGGTCTTAAACCATATTTGACATGGGTTCCACTTTACTTTCTACTCTAATGTGTGATGTTGTCCTTTCAAGAACCCATTTTATTGCAGCTTCTATGGATGCACACAGTTCTTCAGAGGATAAACAATGCTGTATTTCCACTTTCCTTGTTGATTTCCTCACAAACTGGAAAGTGAAGAAAATCAAAGCACTTTCAGGGAATTTAACATTTTAATCACCAAAATAAAAGACTTTTCTAATATAGGAAGTAAATTACTGAGAACCAGAATTCCTCCGTAATGAATCAAATTCACTGAATGTAGGTCATTTCATGCTGGTTCAGTGATTTTTACCTCTCTTCCCACTGCAATTGCTTATATCTAGTTCTGCAATCTATTCCATGCTGCCCATTAAGTTTATTCATTTGTCTCCTGCACAGTTAAGGTTGCTCCTTTGGTCAGTTGCTCTGCTATCCAATGGCATTTCTCATATTTTTCTGTTTTCTTTTAAGGTATTATTCAAAGAGATGAGTCACCCATGGAAAAAGGGCTCTCTGGTCTTCGAGGAAGGGACTTTGAGCTGTCTGATGTGTTTTACTTCTCCAAGAAGGGATTGGAAGCAATTGTAGAAGATGAGGTGACTCAGAGGTTCTCCTCAGAGGAGCTAGTATCATGGAATCTCCTTACAAGGACCAACATAAACTTCCAGTACATCAGCCTGCGACTCACCTTGGTGTGGGTGCTGGGCGTCATCATTCGCTACTGTGTCCTCCTGCCTCTGAGGTATGTCTCTTGCCCCGTAGTTTGGTGGTAAAATATTTAGCTTTTTCATCATGCATATAGTGGCAACATGAGAGTATTGTGTTACTAAGCCCACCCTTCCCCACTTACAAAACACCACCAAAGATGCCCTCCATAGCATTTTCTATTTGTTGTTCATATTCTTCCCCTCCCAAATGATGATATGTATTCAGAATCCAATATATACCAACTTGGACCCCCATTACTACTTCAGATACAGATAATTCTCAGATATAGATAATAATACGAAGATGTATTGTGAAGGGAAATTCGAAGATTGAAGAGAAAACTTTTTCAGGTTCACCTTCATCAGAGTGTCAGCTAAATTATAATGGACGTCTTGCTGGTTGTAATTGCACAGGTGAAGAAAAGAATTCCTGAGAATCATTGTCATGTGAAAGAGGGCCATTTAGAGGAGTGAATTTGTTCCATACATCTCCATCAGAATTGCTCAGTTTTCTTAAATAAGTTCTCCACCTGGGACCGCTTCTGGTTCTAGTTTTTTTTTATTTATGCATACAGAACTGGGGTACAGGTCAGAAGTGTGGGGGGTGGGTGAGAAGAATCACCAGAGACAGAGTGGGAACACAACAGGCTGACTGACTTGAAATACACTGCTGATGGAAACAGTGGGTGAGACAGGAGAGTTCTGCTGCACCATGTGGGTCACATCCCTGGCCTGGGATCGAACTCGTGCCGCAGTGGCTGTGATAGCTTCATAATGCTGTGCTTTAACCTTTTGGGCCACCAGGGAGGGAAGGCCCTGGTTTTAGGTTTGAGTGCTGCCTGTTGAGGGGGTAGTTTCAAGCTCAGTCAGCTGGAAGCAGTGTGGATGAGGTGACACTGGTCAGTGGGATAAAGTTGCAGTGGCCAATTTCTAAATATGGTGATGGCAAGTACCAATATGTGTCCCAGCCACAACCTTGCGATTGGTTGTCTTGTTTCATTTCCCTGGACATGGCCTTGGCATCCACTCAATAGAGCTTTCCAGGCAGTTGCTACAAGCCAATGAAAATTGGCACATGAGTAGGAACCTCCCTACTACCCCCGAGGGTGGCTTATACTTGCCTCATTCAGATTTATTACAAGGGAAGAGATTGCTTAAGTATAAGCAAACACATTTCTAAGAAGCTCTTAGAAATGTGCACATGTTTCCAAGGTCCAGACTTTGGCGCATAGTATGTTTTTGGGGAATAATTTAAACTGTGAGAGCAAAGTGAAATTCAGGGTTTCATATACACTTCTACATGAACCTTAAATAAGTGTTCCCAAAGTGGGGTTCATGTTCCCTGGGGATATGTAAGATTATCCAGTGTGTGCAGGAACTCAATATTTGGGGTATATATTTTTTAGAAGTTTCTAATCTGTTTATAGTTTCGGCAAAGTTGAATATATGTATATGTTTTAATATATCACTATATATCTGTTCTAGCATCTTTACTTGGTCCTTGGGTGGAGTGGAAAGGGCATCAGGCACAGTATGCAAGACAATCTGGAGTGTGAGACTCCTATAATACGAAATACTTGAGATGCCTTCATTTCATTGTTGGTTACTTTCATCATGCAGTGATTGCCCAGAAAAATTGTGTTATGGCTCTGTTATCTAGTTTAATTAAACTAATACTCACAAAAATATGTAAATGACAGAAAAGAGTCCTTTTCTTAAAAAAAAAAAAGATTTATACATACATACATACATACATACATACATACACACAGAACTGGAGTACAGGCCAGAGGTGCGAAGGGGCCAGTGGGGGTGGTGTGGTTGAGAGAACTCACTAGAGACAGAGTGGGAAGCAGAACAGGCAAAGTGACTGAAATACACTGTAGAGGGTAGCATTGGGCGAGACAGAAGAGGTCTGCTGTGCCATGGGTGACTCCCCTGGCAGGGGATCAAACTCATATTGCAGTGACTGCGATAGCTTCAAAGTGCTGGGCTTTAACCCTTTGCGCCACCAGGGAGGGACTCCAGAAAAGATTCTTGCAAAGAAATTGTACTTAAAATAATCTGGTAATGTAAGCATTCAAGATCAAACAGAGAATGATAGAACTGAGATTCCTACTCTCAGTACATACTTTATAGTGGGAAAGAAATGTTTTGTGCATGCTTTTTAAAAGAAGCATTTTTGACAAAGTGAGTATTAAAAAAATAAAAAGTAAAAATATGGGGAAAAGGCCAGATAAGGCTAAAATTGACTTGGATAGTGGTTGTACAACTCTGCCAATATTCCCCAAAGTGTTGAGTTGTGTATTCTAAGTGGGTGATCTGTATGCTATGTGAATTATATCTCAGTAAAACTCCTAAAAGAACAGGCTGTGGCTGAAAACTGATGTGATCTATCAGAACTCTTAAGTTGTCTTAACTTAAACAGGAAAATAGGATTTTCTTGGTCTGTTAATCTAGCAAACATAGTTTTTTAGATGTTTTGAGCCCAGTTGTTAGACATGTTAAAATGTAACCCCTTCTGATTTAATATTTAGAAACAAGTGAATTCATTAGGACAAAATAGTGACACATTACTTCTAAAGCTTTTGCATAGCTGATGGATGAGATTAAGCCTGGATTTAGTAATTGCATGAGTGACTGCACAGAAATACATCATCTAAAGAAAATGTAGTCTGACTTTCAAATTGCTGTGCCAAAAGATAAAACCTTACGAAGGTATTTATAAGAATGACACATTTATTTTGAAAGATTTAAAATCTCAATTTTTTCTTTTCGAGTAATCCCATTTACAGTCCTACCTTCCTTTTGAATTGATTGAAAAAGATATTAAAAGTACTTTACACAGGGCCCTCCCTGGTGGCGCAGCGGGTTAAAGCACAGCACTGAGAATCTAAACCCACTTCCGCATGAGTTCGATTCCCGCCTGCCCTGGAGGAGATCCACATGGCGTGGCAGACCTCTCCTGACCCGCCCGCTGCTCCCCTCAGCAGTGTACTTCCTCGATCTGTCTGTTCTGCTCCCCGCTCTGTCTCTGGTGAATCCTCTCACCTCTGCATCTCTGGCCTGTACCCCAGTTCTGTATAAATAAATAAATAAATCTTTAAAAAAAAAAAAGTACACAAATGAGAAAATGCCTGGAAATTAGAGATATTGTTAGTAAACCTCTAAGTTATCTTTTGCCTAATATAGAGGAACAACAGATTTTCATTAAGGGATTCCTGCATGGCATCATAATTTTCTATAGTTGTTAAGTGTAAGTTTTTGTTATTTGTCATACATTTTAAATTCCTCTGAGAAAAATTTGTATTGTGTCTTTTGCCACCTATCAAAAAAAAAGTTATTTTCATTTCTTTACAAGATATTCCCTTTTGCTATCAAACCTGGAACAAATTAACTTTCAACCTGAAATAACTCCTTTATAGAACTTGTGTACTTAAACTAATTAAAATAATTCAGAAGCAGAAGGGCCAAGAGTTTTTTTTTATCCTTCCTCTCTTAACCCTTTGATGATTATATAGATTGAACTTGACAACTTTGTGAGCAAATTTCCAGACCTTCTCTGTGCATCTGTTGATTATGTGCTCACTATTATTTTGAAAATTTTATTGTGCTCTGTATTATTTTGAAACTGCTGTGCTAATTATTTTTGTTTGTTTCAAAATGTACCCCAGGAACATTCTTTTTTTTTTTTTAAAGATTTATTTATTTATGCATACAAAACTGGAGTACAGGTCAGAGGTGTAAGGGTGGTGAGTGGATTCACCAGAGTGAGGAGCAGATTGATGAAGTACAATGCTGAGGGGAGCAGTGGGCAAGACAGGAGAGATCTGTTACATCATGTGGTCCAGCTCCCTGGCTGGGTATTGAACTTGTGCTGTAGTGGCTGCAGCTAGCTTCATAGTGCTGAGATTTAACTCATTGTGCCACCAGGGAAGGCCTGCAAGGAATATTCTTCCATGTAAGACTCTATAGATTTATTCAATTCCTTTTTGTTTAAAGATCTATTTTTATTTATGTATGCATACAAGAACTGGGGTGTGGGCCAGAGATGCTGGGTTGAGAGGATTCATCAGAGATAGAGTAGGTGGAGCAGAACAGGCAGATGGATGCAGTACACTGCTGAGGGGAGTAGCAGGTGAGACAGGAGAGACTGCGCCATGTAGGTCAGCTCCCTGGCCAGGAGTAGAACTTACGCATCAGTGGCTGGCAATTGCTTGATAGTACAGAGACTTTAATCCCTGTGCCACCAAGGAGGCCCAGATTCACCCAAAACTCTTAATGGCTGCATCCTAATTTATAGTGCGGAAGCTCTGTACCTTACTTGCAATTTTATTATTTAGGAACGTTTACGTTGCTCCTGCTCTTTCACCAACATTTGCATTACCATCTTTTTTTCTTTTTCTTTTCAGGATTACCTTGGCTTTCATTGGGATCACTTTGTTGGTCATGGGAACTACACTGGTCGGGCAGCTGCCAGACAGCAGGTGAAATATTTCCTTTCACTCAGCCATGAATAGAATTGTTCCTTTTCTAAGTTGTGTTGACAAAGATAATATTTGTTTGATTCCTGGATATTGCATTAACTTTGTGGCCTCAGTACACTTACTACAATTCTATTGACTTCATCTTCATAGTCTTTATGTGATTTTCCATCACACACTTCCATATAAATCAGATGAACTTGCTTTTTCAAAGGGACAGTGGAGGAAGAAGATAGACTATAAGTCTCAAAGGAAAGCAAGTCTCAGAGTATTGTCATATTCATTGGGTCAAGACCAAAGAACACCAGCTTTCTTGGCCAGGAATTTATAATGATAGTCCAGGGGGGTTGGGACTGCTTTCTGAGCGTTTTTTCCTATATGCTTTGAGCTGTGCTTGTGTTTCCGAACACAGTGTACTGCTGTGAGGGAGCATGCTGACATTTTCATTGCATTGTTCCTTAGGAATGCCCGGAACTGCACAATAAGGGGATTTTTTTTTTCTTTCAGTCTCAAAAACTGGCTCAGCGAAATGGTCCATCTGACTTGTTGCCGGATCTGTGTGCGGGCTCTCTCTGGAACCATTCACTATCATAACAAGTGAGTATCTGCTGACCTGTTGCATTTTTCTAGGTAAATCCTGCATGTGATATAGTGGGTGAGAGGAAGCAGGTGAAATGAGAGTAGCTCCGGTGTGTTTATACTTTCTGCTCAGAGCATCACCGACATATGGTGTACATAATCACTTTTAAAAGCAATCTGTTTGCATAAACATGTGATAACATTTACTTACTAGGCCTTTCTGGCAGGTAGACCAGGTCTGGCTTCTCAGAGGTCATCTCTATAAGAGGTGCTATTTTTCCATTTTGCAGTGAAGGAACTCAAGCTCTGGGATTGGGTGTCTAGGGTCACATGACAATTGTGTGAAAGACTTAGGTTTTGAACTGAGTTTGTCTGATAGAAAACATGAAGATGACAGACCTTTGGCAGTAGGAAGAGTAAATATGGAACTTGGAGGTTTCTTGTCTCAGTATTGCCACACACACCTGAAATTCTGTAACTGAGACTTAAAACAGAATGCTACATTCCTGCTTTCCTCACTCCTAGTCATAAGGATGAAGTAGTTAAGTGAAGCTGTCAGCTAAGTAAAAGTAATTTTGGTTGTATTTGAATTACTTTTCCGTTAACTCAATTTTACTTTTTAGTATTTATCATTGTTTTCATAAGTTCTAAGAGAAACCTCTTTGTAGAAGAGAAACCTCTTTGTAGAAGAGAAACATTTTATCCTTTGGATTTGCCATGTGTAACCAACATAAAAGTCCCCTAATGACTTTAAAATTACATGACTTTGTGATTGAGATGAGTTTTGGGGTGAGGAGTAGAAGAAAATGCACTGATGGAAATGTGATCATAGAAGACACTGTTTACAGAGTAGGTGCTTTAAATATATAGAGGAGTGTTAATAATTTATTATAAAATGCTTTTAATTATAAGAAAAACATGCCAAAGTCATTAGTCATCTGGTTCCTTTATTTTCTACATAGGCCCTAAGAAAACTACTTGCTCCTTCAGTGTCAAGTTAAACTTTAGGACAGAGATTGGCAAACTCGGCTGTGTCCTTGTAGGCCAAATGTGGCCTGCCAATAGTTTTTTGTAAATAAATTTTATCAGAAACCAGTTGTGCTCATTTATTTGGTGCAAAAGCACCAAATTCCTGCAGTTTGATAGAGAATAGCTAATCTTCAAAGCTTAAAGTAGTACTATGTTGTCCACCATAGGAAAAGTTTGCCAACCTCTTCACTGTGGGTAGGAGGAAGGAAACTATAGTAAGTTTAGTCTGTGGATCACCATGAAGCCATTAAAAGTGGTGTTTATGAAGATGAAAATAACATGAAAATATTTGTGATAAAATAAGTGAAACTCCACATATCGAACCTTTATTAGTTAATGGAGTCTTTGTAATTTAGTTTAATATTTTAAAAGTATTTTCCATAGTAAAAGGAAAATATGACAAAAAATAACCCAACAAATATATTTAAAAGGGATGCCAAGGGCCCCTTCTCCCATTCTCTTAGCCTACCCTCATCTTACTGCCTGTAGATAGCCTTGTTAGATGGACCTATGTACTTCCGGACTTTATTGCCTTAATGTACTTCTTAAAAAAAGGATGGGCCGGGGGAGAATGAATCTCTACATACTGTTCTGCAGATATAGTAGTCATTTTCATGACTTGACATTTCTAATTGTTTGTCATTTCAGGCAGTATCGGCCTCAGAAGGGAGGCATTTGTGTGGCCAACCATACGTCTCCCATAGATGTTCTGATCTTGACCACAGATGGGTGCTATGCGATGGTAAGAGCAGCTCATTGAAATTTCATTGTAGTTGTATATTTTGTGGATTGCCCAAGCTTTTGATTTGTTTTGGCATGAATTAGAGTTTTTCATATTAGAGAACAATTGGATTATACCACTGGAGCTAAGTAAGTTATGTCATATATTCACATAAGGAATAGATAGTATAAGAGAAAGAAAGAAAATAAGTATTTAAGGTAGTAAAAAATTAACTTATTAAAAATGTAGACATACTTGAAATCAAAGGGACTTTGTAAAGTTGAATTCATCTTACTTATAAGATCCCTGCACTGCTTAATAACACTTTTGAGACATTAAAATATTCCTCTTCAGAGTTGTCCAAATCCCTTATCAGCCAATTAGTTCGTCTTACTTAGGGAAGCATATGCAATTAAAAAATATATGGCTTTTTAATGGTGCTCAAGTGGGAAAGGCAAATATTTATACCATATTGCCTTTCTCACTTCTTGCCTACATCCCAGAAGAAAGGGAACAAAACCAAGCCCAACAATGAACCACACCCACAGTAAAATCAAATACTCCAAAAACTCTGTGTGGATGAACCATGCTCTGGCATTTTTCTTTTCTTTTCTTTTTTTGCATAGAAGAACTGGAGTGTAAGCCAGAGTACTGAGGGTGTCGGAGGTGAGAGGATTCACCAAAGGCAGTGTGGGGATCAGAACAGGCAGCTTTACTGACTACACTGCTGTGGAGAGCAGTGAGTGAGACAGGAGAGGTCTGCTGTGCCATATGTGGGTCAGATCCCTGACTGGGTTTGTTGAACTCAGGCCTAGTGGTGATTATGCTGAGACTTAATCCTTAGGTTACCAGGGAGGCCTTCAAAATTTTGTTTTCTTTTACCTTTAAGAATTTATCAAGATTTGGTGTGTGGAATAGGATGATGGAGAAGGTCTCAGGGAGTCTTGTCACATATCACCTGGTTGTAGCTTAAGCCTCAAGGAGACCTGATGGTTTTAATTTTGTTTGTTTAGCTGCAGTGACTGCTAGTTGTAGTCTATTGTGCTTCTCTGGAAAGGAGTTTGAAGGTTGCCAACCTTAAGTTTCTGCTGTTGGAAGGAGTCACTCTGTATTGTGATTACCAAAGAGTCAATTATAACTTCCTTGTGACTAAGGGCCTTAAAATGTTGTTGACATTTTCCATGCTCTGGGTATAACTCTAAGGCACACGTACTGGTGTTTGACTCATCACAGGTTATATGGTTTTTGAAGGATCTTATAGAGATTTTAAGTTATGGCCAGATATTAATTAGCCTAAAGCACAATTTCAGATCTCTAACCCTTGGGCAACCACATTTGAATGCATTATGAAATTCTCAAAGCTGTGGAGCTATTTCTCAACCTAAGGAAACTTTAACTGCCTCTGAAAAGATTTATGGAAATTGGTAGTTCTTAATCTTTTTTAGGTTGGGAATCAGCTAAGAGTTATGTATCTTTTTTTTTTTTTAAAGAGATTTTATTTAAGCATATAGAACTGGGGTACAGGTCAGTGGTGTGTGTGTGGGGAGGGTGAGAGGATTCACTAGGGACAGAGTGGGGGGTAGAACAGGTAGATCCACTGAAGTACACTGCTGAGGGGAGCAGAGGGTGGGTCATGTGGTTCCCCTTTCTGGCAGGGAATTGAACTCATGCTGCTATGGCTTTGGACAGCTTCAAGTGCTGTGTTTTAACTCGTTGAGCCACCGGGGAGGGCCCTATGTATCCTTTTTTAAGCCAAAAAATGTGTGTACATTGTATAGACATAATTGCTATATAATTTTCAAGTGTTCATGGATTCCTCAAAGCCCATTAAAGAATTCTTGCACTAGCAATCTTTGAGACTCCAGCAGTTTGGGGAGTAGAGGAAATCTTTATATCTGTGTGAGAATTCCTTTTCACATCTATGATACTTGACATTCCCTTTATCCTAGTGATGAAGTCAAAGCTAAGATTTTGTTTTAGATGAGAAAATGGAGGCTCTGACCTCCTGCCTAATTTACTCTGTATTGTGATTAACAAACAGTTGAGTATAGGTTACTTCTGATTAAGGGCCTCAAAATGTTGTTGACATTTTCCATGCTTTGGGTGTAACTAATTATATTAATCAAGTTTTAGAAAAGCATAGTAATTGTGAACTTTTTGGTGGGCTGAGTGATAGAAACCTTGGCCACCTGGATTTAAATCAGGACCAGCGGAGGGCAGAAGTGGGAGGAAACTACATTTCCGAGGTCCCCTTTGGCTTCTTTTGTCTAAACATAAGCTATGTATCTGAAGAAGATTCATGAATGTTCATACTCTACAAGTGGTTACAGTAAACACAGCCCACAGAATAAGAGAGTCCGAGGTTTTTGGTGCCCACCTAGGGGAGCTGGCAGAGGTGCTAATCTGGATTTGGTGTGATATCTTGGACTTTCTTGTTCTCATACTTTCTTGCTCCACAAGAGAGCACAGCCCTCTAGGCATATTGCTTTGTAGCCTTATCTGCAGGGTCTCCTGGACCCCCTATTAACCATATCAATAGATGCAGAGAAAGCAGTTGATAACATTTCCAGGAATCCACCTATCCCTCCCTTATGTGTGACTTTCAGGCAGGATCCCATTATATATAACCAGAAATGGCTAGTTTTTCGTGTGCCCAGCCTGTGGACAAAGAGCATCTTTATTGCTTGTGGCCAGTATGTAGAGTAAATAGTGGTACCTAGCTCCCTTAGTGTGTTCTTTCAACTTTCCACTGAAGTTCCCAACTCCAACTCTTCCAAATTTGGGAAAGAGGGAATCTTTTTGAACGTTCATTGAATGTTCAATGAGACAGCATCAGTCTGATATCAAAACCAGGCACATCTACCACTAAAAATTACAGACCAATATCTCTAATAAACATAAGCTCAAATATCCTTAACAGAATCTTAGCAAGCAAAATGCATTTTAAAAATCAGACATTTTGACCAACTGGGATTTATCCTAGAACACAAAGACAATACAACACCTAAAAATCATATAACCATATCAATAGATGCAGAGAAAGCAGTTGATAAAATTCAGAATGCATTTATGATATAGCTAGAGCATTTGTACAAGAATCCAAACTGAGAAAGAAATAAAACTAGTATTTCACATTAGTTCATAGCACATAGTACATTACATGCAGATGATAATATTCATAGGCAACCCTAAAGACTCCACTAAAATGAATTGAAAAATCAATAAAGTGACAAATCACAAAATCAACTTAGGAACATCAGTTGTGTTTCTATATGTAAATAATAAGCTAGAAGAGAAAGAAGTCAAGGAAAAAAATTACCATTTACACTTGCATCCAAAAGAATTAAATCCCTATGATTAAGCTTAACAAAGGGGATAAAGATCTTTATAATAGAAACCATAAAAGATTATTAAAAGAAAGACAACACACAAAAAGAGAAAAAATATTCCCAGCTAATAGACTAGAAAAATTAACATTGTAAAAATGACCATCTTACCTAAAGCAATGTACAATATGCAATCCATATCAGTGATCCACAGGAATTCTTCAAAGAAATGGAACAAACATTGTTGAAATTCATATGGAACCGCAAAAGACCCAAAATGGCCAAAGCAGTCCTGACCACAAAGATTAGTTGGCATCACTTTCCCGGACTTCAAACTATACCACAAAGCTCTACGAGATGAAATATTATGGCACGAGACCAAAAACTGATGCACAGTACACTAGAATAGAATTGAGAGCCCAGAAACAAATTCTCATGTATGTAGACAGTTTCTGACAGAAGAGCCAAGAGCATGTACAGAAGAAGTCTATTCAACAATTAGTATTAGGAAAACTGGACAATCACATATGCAAAAAGGTGAAGCCAGAGCATCATCTCACACCTTTTACAAAAATTATGATGATCTTGGTGGTGGGTGTGGTGTGGTTACATGCCTCTGAGGAGGTGTAATTTCTGGGTCATGTGGAATGTTATAAAAATACATTATCTTAATTAAAAAACATTAATTGTTAAGGTCTTAAAACTTTTTTGTTAGTATTTCATATTAGTTCATAGTACATGCTTTATGAAAAAAAAAATAAACATCTTTTGCTTACATTTGACCATTCAGGCCCTTTGAACAGATAAGAACTTCCATCAGTAGCAGAGGACTAATCTTTTCTTTGAAGGAGGAATAGGAACTTATTAGTATTAAAAAGACAAATTCTTTCTTAGAACAACTGTGCCTTTACATTTTTCTCTTTTACTCATGGTATTTCTAGGTTGGCCAAGTACATGGTGGATTGATGGGAATCATCCAGAGAGCTATGGTCAAGGCTTGTCCACATGTCTGGTTTGAACGCTCAGAAATGAAGGATCGACACTTGGTTACTAAGAGGTTAGCTGTTATCACCTGACTCATGTTCAGTGGGGTGTCTCAAAAGCAATAACCCTTGTCTTTCCTGTCAAAGAGGGCACAACAGCACTAAGGATGAAAGAATTAAAGCATAAACTTCTTGTGGTTGACTTTCTGGTGAATCATTTGCTTTAGGTAAATTAAAGGAAATTTTATTTCTATAGTCATAGTAGGATATATATGATGAAATTAGAAGAATGTAAATCTGTATTGTTGTGACTTGGATATAGTGCAATCACTGGGTTTTTAAGGTTAAAAATTGCTGCTTTAAATCTTGAATAACTGTCAAATAAATAGATGGTTGACTTAGTTTTTGCTGAATGACCTAATGGTCACTTAAATCCAGCTAGACACAGCCAAAGCTAGTGCTCTTTATAGAAGAGAAGAAGGAATTAGGTCAGAGGTGAGTTCCCAAAACCTTTGTTAGGTAAGTGGCTTTTTGCTGGAGACCTTTAACTGAAGACACTCTGGCCAATACTTCTGTGAACACGAGAGTAGTTCATGCTTTTAAGAGTGAAATATAAAATACTTGTTGAAATCTGTTTAAGGTTAGAGAAATTGTTCCTCATCATGAGATTATTAAGCAATAAGACACTGGCAGCTGTAACCTGTCTGTCTCAACTTTACCAGCTTCTGGAGAATATTTAGGAAAGTAGGGCTGACTGCAAGGGTGGGGACCTAAGTCTGGAATAATATGCATCATTCTCAGCTTTATGGTACATATTTCACAAGATAAATCAACCTGACTCAATGAAGGACTACTCTTAGACTTTTTGGTCACAAGGCAGACAGGTCAAACAATCAATATTCCTGCTTTTTCAAATGAGGAAATACAGGAACAAGGAGAAAGGCGTGGGACTCAGAACACAGGAATCCAGAGCTTATTTTGCATGACTGTCTAGTATTCTTTGAAAAGAGTAGGCAGAAGGCACTGTGAGTCCCTGGTGTTGGAAGAAGAGATATTGAAATAGTTACCTTTACACTGTGTAAGAAAGGTATCAATTTGAGTTTATTTCCTTTTCTGGTATTTCTTTTTGGTTTACAGTTACATTTGTGCTATAGAAGTAAAGAATAACAAAGAGGGCTTCTCTAGAGCTCTCTCTTTTTAAAGGTAGAATTTTGACCCTTTATTTTTCTTTACAGACTAAAAGAACATATTGCTGATAAGAAAAAATTACCTATATTAATCTTTCCTGAAGGTAAGATGGAACCCGGTATACCAGACTACAGTTACACCAACAAATACCAAAAATGTCTAAGGAGTTGGATTGTTCTAGAATTGGCATTCTTATTCCAGATCTCTTTTCTTCTGTTGCGTGGAATGGGCTGTCAAAATTAGGTCATTCCCTTTTAAGATTTGATAAAGACAATGTATCTTTATATTTTAAGTCTTTTTTTTGGTAATGACCTTAGAAATACATGGACCATAATTTTTAAAGTTCTTTATTTTAAATAAATTGAAATAATCATCTAGTGTAAACAGAAATTCAGTAATGAAGTATGTTTGTCATTAAATCTGCTTAGAAGAGTCTGGTTACTACTTAAGTAGGAATTGATTTGTACAGTGGCAGTAAAATATCTGTAAATTTTTGTGATTTGACTATTCTAATTAAAAATAATTTCTATAAAAATTTTGTTCAAAAACGGCTGCTTTTAAAAGTATTCACCAGAGCCCCTCCTTGATGCCCATGCAGGAACTTGTATCAACAACACTTCAGTCATGATGTTTAAAAAGGGAAGCTTTGAAATTGGAGGAACCATACATCCTGTTGCAATTAAGGTAAAACATACCACCCTCCCACTTCTGCAAACAGAGACAGAGATGCAGAGACCTGATACATTTAATTTTGATAATAATTCCAATTTTGTAATGTGAAGTAGTAAGGAGCACGTGTATACCCTTTGCTCAAGTTCACCATAGTTTACATTTTACCCCCTCACTCGATGCTTCTCCTTCTATAGATAAATGCATCCCTAAGGTGATTGTGCCAAGGACTGAGCACAAGGACATACTGATTGCAAATCAGATACTATTACTGCTTTCAGCACCCTTCCAGTGAAGTGGGGGGACAGATTTTTCAGAATTGTGTAATCACTCTCTTGGTGTAGGATTTTGGGGCTCTGGCCAGAGAAGTTAACTGGTGTGGTCGATTTCATTTTTATCAAGTAAAGTTGCTTTTCTTTTTTTCTTGGGGCCCACGAGAGATGATTGACCATGACTGGGATGTGTTTTCTTCTTTCTTAGTATAATCCTCAGTTTGGAGATGCATTTTGGAACAGCAGTAAATATAACATGGTGAGCTACCTGCTCCGAATGATGACCAGCTGGGCCATCGTCTGTGACGTGTGGTACATGCCCCCCATGACTAGAGAGGTAATGACAGATAACAGTTGGCCTCTGGTGCCCTATCTAATCAGACAAACACTAGAGAGCCTTAAGCTGACACTCCACATCTTCGAAAACTGAATTTCCCTCCTACTTTTTCAGCGCATGAAACATTTTTTAATGACTTCATATTAAGTTATTATATATTCAGAGATGATTCTGCATTGTGGCTTTTATAACTGCTGTTGGTTTATTATGGAATGTGAATATCTTGGATAAGACTGACAACAGAATATGTGCACATGGTCAAAAATCAAACAATACAGCGTTAAATGTTTTCAGTAGAACAATTTGCTACATTGAAATGAGAACATATTTGAACTAAAATGTGAATCTGATATTTTAAAACAAATCTAAACGATTATGAGACTTTTAAGACATTACTTGAAAACTGTATATCCTGGATATATCCTTAATGTATGTATTTATTTTCTAGGAAGGAGAAGATGCAGTTCAGTTTGCTAATAGAGTAAAGTCTGCTATTGCTGTGCAAGGGGGGTTGACTGAGCTTCCCTGGTAAGAAATTTCTCAGAAGTACCATTGCTTTTTTTTTTTTAAAGACCTTTTAATAACGTTGAAACTGTAGTGGCCAAGGTGGTATTTTCCTGTTTTAGTTTATCTTGCAAAAACATCAGTCTGAGTTTGTGAGAATAAAACAATGGGACAAACATTCCTACACATTTTAAGCAAGGGGAAAAGGATTTTTCATAATTGGACAAAGTGTGTTTCAGTGTGGAGGCCCAGAGAAATGTTTGCTGCTCTCGGGATACTAGAAGCCAGGCTTGTGGTCTGATGGATGACATTCAAAAAAATGAGAGGCATCCAGCTTTTTTTGCAGTTCTGAACATAACTTCTAGTTACATCTTGATTCAGCAGCAAGCAACCAATCAGACTCTACCAACTTGCATCATTAACGTGTTTTCTTTGTCCTCAATCCCATTTCCCAATGTGAAATTCTTCTACATAGATGGGGAGGAGATTTGACTATTTCTCCTGGCTCCTTGCTTGTGACTTGCAGCAAAGTTCCCCACTTCAAGCATCAGTGTTTCTGCGTTCTAGTCTTAACTGTACATCAGACACACAAACCTGAGAGTGTCAGGCTGCTGCGTCAGCAAGGAGTTTTGGCTCTATGGTGGGCTGCTATGGTGGGCTGGCCCAGGTTTGGGTTGGACACTCAGAGACTCTTAGCAGCTGCCGGGATGATGTTAGCCCAGGGGACTTCCCTTGATTGTCTCCTCCCATGGTGCTGGCCACTGTCAGTACAAAGTAGCTTGGAGCAGGGAACTGCCTGAACTTTTTACTCCACCTTCTGTTCTATATCATTTTGGGTATAACCTCAGTGTGCTTGGCTGCAGAATTCCCTTTCTCCCCATTTGTTTTGATCTCCTGGTTTTCTAGAAGATATTTATTAAACTTTGTTTGCAGGTACCTTTGTTTGCAGGAGTAATAGAAAACGGTGGGACTCCTTTTTATATTCTGCAGAGTTGGTTACTTATGTATGGGTTTTGCTGTCTCTGTGGCTTTTATTTATTTATTATTTGTCATGGGCAACTGTAACTCAATCACAGCCTGACTGGTCTGCTTCCTCACAAACTGAGCACTTCTTGCTTCTGCGTGGTATTCATGTGGTCATGAGCCTGGCTTCCGGTTCCCTCCTCTGTGACTATTTCTCATCCAGACAATGAAAGGTCCCCTTGAGGTACAGCGATCACTTTTCTGGACATAAGCTCTGAAACACAACTTGTCATCTGAAGAAACAACCATTTTCTTTCTTCAAAAATGTACATTTTTGTGCCATTGTTTTACAAGCCCACTTTGCTGTCCTTGCAAGATAAGCAGAAATGGTAAAAGACTGTGACTATTACGGTCTCGATGTCATTGATTATGCTATGTAGCATTTTATACAGAATAACAATGGCTTAAACAAAATAGACATTTATCCCTTTTACTTAAACAGAGGTGGTTCAGGTTGAAATAATAGCTCATTCTGTATTTTTTACCCGATTATTGACTTGATGGCTTCTCCATTTAATGACTTGATGGCTTCTCCAGGCATACTGAGAGTTGGAGCAAATGGCTAGCAGGAGAGAGCAAAGCAAGAGAACACATGCATCTTGTGGACACAGGCTTGGGGGTGGGCATACCACTTGTGTTTTGTGGCTAGAACTGAGCCATGTGATGATAATACCTAGTTGTAAAGATGCAGGGATGATGTAGTCTTTGTTCTGTGTGGTCATATTCCTAGCTGAAATGTAGGGTTCTGTTACTGAAGAAAGGAAGAATGGATTTGGGGGTAAGAAATGGATCCTGGAAATCAGGGGCAACTTATAGGCTGTTCATGTTCAACTCTACTTATAAACTATATTAAAGAAAACTCGGAAGGAAGGAAACAGGTGAAATATTTTAGTTATAACTACGGCTTTCATTTGTTGAGAAAGATTAGAAGTAGGTGAGTGTATATAGACTGCTCAGGCTTCTATAACAATATGTAGACTGGGTTGTTTAACAGAACATTCTTAAGAGTGTGGAGGCTGGACGTCTGTGTGTACCAGTGGGTGGGGTTCTGTTGTGAGCCCTCTCTATTTTTCTCTTGCACGTGGATACTTTCTTGGTCTCTTCTTTGTGCAAACAGAAAGGGAGGTAAAGAGAGATTATGCTCACCAGAGAGTATACAGAGCCCTCAATGGTGTCTCCTAATGAAAGAGTACTGGGCCTCATCTCCAAATACTATCAAATCGGGTGTTTAGAGCTTCAGCATAAGAATTTTGGAAGGATATAAACCTTGCTCTTGGGCCCTCCCTGGTGGTGCAGCGGGTTAAAGCACTGCACTAAGAAGCTTAAGCCACTTCCTCATGAGTTCGATCCCCGCCTGCCCTGGAGGAGATCCACATGGCGGCAGACCTCTCCTGACCTGCCCTCCGCTCCCCTTAGCAGTGTACTTCGTCGATCTGCCTGTTCTGCTCCCAGCTCTGTCTCTGGTGAATCCTCTCACCCTCTGCATCTCTGGCCTGTATTACAGTTCTGTATGAATAAATAAAAAAATCTAAAAAAAACCCAAACAAACAAAAAAACCTTCCATCATAATGGAAGATTCAATTCTGTTATACACACAGGTGTTATATTAGCAGGTGGGCAGAAAACAATTCATATTTCCAGTCCTGAATAGAATAAAATCTCTACTATCTGTTTTGTTGTTTCAAAAACACTTTACATGAAAAGTTCATGGAAGACAATTATAGCAATATTCTAGCAGCAGGAATGGACTCAGGCTGTTGTCAACCAGGCAGGCACTCAGGACTGTTTGGGCTAGCTGGATTCTTCAACTTCTTTACACCAGGATGAGGAAAGGCTCTAAAATGTTCACATATCTTGAATGCAAATAATTTTGTTCTAGAAAGGCTGTTTTAGGAATCCACTCTGCTAATTAACAAGCCACCAGTGTCTAGAGTTGGAAACCCACTTCTAAAATCTATTATGCTAGTTAACAAAGCCCATGTAGTTGATGAGAGATAAAAATAGGGGAAGCCTTGCAGTAACATTTCTGGATTAATCCTCAAGTATGAGTTCTTGGTTTAGGGTAAGTGGTGGCTCTTAGACAAGAAGTAGGATTTAGGTAGGTTTCGGCTAACGTTTGTACTATATTAGCTAAACTGTAATATGTTAAGCTGTTTCATAACATCATGAAATGATGAACTTACAAATGCCCTTATTTATAAGGTCTTGGGTTACAGATGTTCTTGTGATCCATGGTCATGTTGTACTAGCTTCCTTTTTATTCTTTTTTTTTTTTTATTCTCTAACCCCTTCCTCTTACCTGAAATCCCAACCCTGCTCCTGCCCTGAAGTCATTGTGAAAAGCTTAGACTATAGCCTGGGTAGCCTCAGACACCAAAGAAAGGAAGAAAGCATTGAGAAATAAAAACAGCTTGCGGAAGTCAGCCACTGACATCAGACAGGCTCTAGATCAGATTGCTTAAACAAAGTCCATCACAAATAAGCTCAGCATTTTTCAATTTCCTTCTATCAGGCCTTATGCAATTTGACAATAAAGGGTGAGTTTTAATTACCTGGCCTATTCACTGAAAAGAAAACACACCCGTTGCTTTCCCAGGTGTAGTTGCCATTTACCCATAAGGTATAAATTAACTCTAGGTTGGTTTGCTACATTAAATGAGACCATAATTGTATCATTCTTACTAACTTTTGTATATGATTGTTCCTTCTAAGATTTGCTGCCGTTGCAACACATGACAAGTCAGGACAGGTATTTTAAGCAGTAGTAGGTTGACTGGGTACTGGGGAAGAATTGAGTAAAAGGAGTATCAGAATGCTCAAGGGCAGTTGTTGCTAACTTCACATTGTTGTACTGGTCCTCAGAAAAGGAGGCATGCCCCCTTATCTCTTCCTCTGCCCCCCCCCCCCCCTTTAGTTCTTACTATTCAGAGTTCAGTGCATTTGGGTCCAAGAGGCTTTTGTGGCTCATTCTAGAGAACTAGTGATAATTTATGACCTTCCTTTATGAAAATTTCCTACAACTGACCCCTGGAGGATTTTGTGCACTGTAGTCTGTTGTTTTAAGTTGAGGATTTATTAGTGGAAAATGTCTTGGATTTGATTCTAGAGTCGGAATATCAGAATATTGCAATGGTCTCTGGCAGGCATCTGTCTGAGGTCAAGTTCTGTATTCAGGGCATTGAGTTCACCGGCTAACCTATCTATTCATCATCTTTAAAGAACACTTAGTAAACATTTGTGCTAGGTTGGGTTAAAATTAAACAGGCACAGTAAAGCAAGCAAATTCTCAGTCTACACTCTCCTAAAACTTAAATCTGAAATGTTAAATTAGGAGAGAGATAGTGGTCCTAGATAGTCTAATCTCCTCCCAGCTCTTTCAGTTGTGTGTGTGTGTGTGTGTGTGTGTTTTCCAAAGAAGGAAAAGCATGCAGAGTTCTTATAGCTCAAGCAGGTCTGTATTTTTACTGCCCTGGAGACAGTTCAAAGGTTCACGTGCCTGCTTACATAGGCACTAACTGGTGGTTGAATGCAGTTTATCATTTTCTTATTGGTTTCATTATGAGTCTGTTTTGAAATCTAGAAGATTAGAAATATTTGAAACATATGGTGCTTTAAATGAAAGTATAATTTGTGAAAATTAGGATTAGATTTTTATAATGGTTACTTTTTGATCCTTAAGGTAATTTACCTACACATACATAACACCCTGATCATTTCCTGTGCATCTGTTTAAAACTGGCCCAATGGTTTTTTCAATAGGTAGGTTGATTAGATGAAAAAATAACAATAGTATTCGGCTTTTCTTGGGGGATGGGGGAGAGAAGATAGGTAAAGAACTAATTTGAATGTAATGTCCAAATAGTGAATAAGGCAGCCTTAACTTTGAAAAAGAAACTGAGTTGGGATATTAGTCTTTGTTTTAGCCAATCATGAGATACTAATCTCATAAAGGGAGAGAGGAACTAGTCTTTCTGCTTCAGGATCTAGGGTCCTTTGCCCTGTTTGCTGACCAGACCAATAAGGCACAGGAAACTACGCAGCATGTATAAACAAGTAACCCTTTCAAATCATTGCAGGGAGTATCTTTACTTATTTGCCTTTGTGTTCCCAGGGATGGAGGACTAAAGAGAGAAAAGGTGAAGGACACTTTCAAGGAGGAGCAGCAGAAGAATTACAGCAAAATGATCGTGGGCAATGGATCTCTTAACTCAGAATCGGACTGATTGCCTCTGGAGATCAAACGTGGCTTCCCTTAAAATGGAATGTGTGTGTGTGTGTGTGTGTGTGTGTGTTTTGAGATAAGGGAGGCATTTTTTTTCTTTTATTGTTTTTGGTTTTAATTTGCAATCTTTTCTACAGGATGATTGTCTCTACCTCTATGCCAGGGGCGGGATCTACTGTCCCCCTGGGGCTTTTGTTGTTAAAACACTCGCCCCATGAAGTGGAAGGGAGTTTACTGTGTTTAAACAGATTCTGCCTTTTCTGAAATGATTGTGCCATTGTTGATTGAAAGAAATATACAAGAAACAGTACTTCTAAAACACTTCTGGAACTTACTGTCTTTGGAACGCATTGATATGGTAATGATCAAGAAAAAAACAAACCCAAACCCCTCTTTCCCTCTTCACTTTCTCACCCCCTTTCCTCCCACTCCCTCTAGTCTTTGGGGAGTGATGTGGGCCACATCCAGTTCACAATTAAGGTCATGGCTCTGACCTACTGCAAGGTTGAAATGGAGAAAAGTCTGGTATTTAGGAGAAAGGACAACTTTGTGATCTCTTGATAAAAGTTGAAAGAAACTGTCAATATTTATTCTTAGAGTGTTAGATGAGAAATATCTTGGTGAACTTTACCCGACAGAAGTGAGTCAAGTGTGTGTGCATGTATACGTCTGCAACTTTCGAACAAATACTTTAGCCCATAACATGTGCTGAAGTTTTTCGTTTTCCTTGTTTGTATTTTGAAGATGTATAACTAGTGCCTCCCTGTCTACTCGTTTGTTTGAATTTGTAATCACAGTTTCAAAGAGGAGCCTTTTACAACAGCAACAATAAATCATGTGACAGTCTCCAGTGGATGCAGGTGAAAGTGCAAAAGCCCTTTACAGTTTATTTCACAACTTTCTCAGTTCTTAAACACAAAAGTGAGTGGCAAAATTACCTTTTGGGAAATGAGCCTTAAATTTTTTAAAGGGGAAAATAAGTGTCACGGCTAAGTAATGTTTGATAGCAATGTAACGCCATCATAAACTTGGAGAGCTTTATCTCTCTTCTGGTAACCATGTACAGAATGTGAAACTGTCTTATGGTGAATATAAATAAATTCTATATTTCTAAATGTTTTTGGCATTTTTTCCTCTCACATCTACCCTTTTCTGATTTGAGTAAAATTAAACTCTCATTTTATAGCATAGAATTGTTTTTCATTTCAACAACATTGATTTTATTGGACTGGAATCTCTGATAAATGAGAACATGAACCAATGGTTTGGGTTTGTCTTTTTTTTTTTTTTTTTTAATAATCTAGTTGTCTAAACTCTGACCTTGTGGACTTTGCCTTGAGCAAAGTCACAGACATCAGCTAGGCAATGCTGTCATAATAGCAACAGGTAGCCTGAGGCAATGCTATCTGTATATTTATGTTTTCCAGTTGGACAGATCTGATCCAAAAGAATATTTGCAAGCAGCTTGCCTCTTGGTCAGCTACTCCACTGTTCTCACCCCACATCCTTCCTTTTTTTTTCTCTTGCCCTCAATTTAGCCCCCTCAAAATTTGGCTGAGGTGGGCCCATCCTTGTAGCGGGTTAAAGTACAGAACTAAGAAGCTAAAAGCCACTTCAGCATAAGTTCCATCCCACCTGGGAGGTAACTCATACTGCATGGCAGACCTCTCCTGATCTGCCCACTGCTCTCCTCAGCAGTGTACTTCCTCAATCTGCCTGTTCTGTTCCCTACTCTGTCTCTGGTGAATCATCTCACCACCCCTGCACCTCTGGCCTATACTTCAGCTCTGTGTGCATAAATAAATGAATCTTAAAAATAAATTTTTGGCTGGGGCGATTTTGATTGAAAATCAGCCAATCCAATATGTACCCTGCTACTTTTCAACTTTTATTTTCTCCGAAGTTTCTTTTTCTCATTTACTTTTCATACTTGATATAACGAGTTAACCAGCCCACTTTATTTATTAGCCCATTTTCAGAAAATCTGATAGAATAGCCATTTTGTTTGGACATGGGAAAATGTATCGTCTCAAGAGCACTGTGACAGGACACCAATAATATTGTCTTGTATGCACTAGAAAATCTAATGGTCTTAATCAAAACATTTATGCCTTTGATTTACATAACTAGTTTCCAATATGTTTGAGGAATTGCCTTGTGACTGAAAATGTTTATAGAAAGCAAATATTGCTAGGATTTAGCCTATGTTCCTTAGAACTCTATTTTTTCATTTGCCCTTCCTAATATTATTTTATACCCATTTTAGAAATATTTACCTAGATTTTTATCTTCTAAACTTTTGAGTCTTCTGCAGTGGTAATGGGATATCAAAGTAGGCAATATTTGTTAGAAAACTTCCATTAGATACAATATCTCATCCAACCCTTGCATGGATTCATTTGAAGAGTCTTGAGTTTGCCTTTAAAAAATAATTACAGGGGCCCTCCCTGGTGGCGCAGCAGGTTAAAGCACAGCACTAAAAAGCTAAGCAACTTGCTCATGAGTTCGATTCCCGACTGCCCTGGAGGTGACCACATGGCGTGGCAGACCTCTCCTGCTGCTCCCCTCAGCAGTGTACTCTCCGCCCGCTGCTCCCCTCAGCAGTGTACTTGTCGATCTGCCTGTTCTGCTCCCCACTCTGGTGAATCCTCTCACCCTCCGCATCTCTGGCCTGTAAACCAGTTCTGTACGAATAAATAAATAAATCTTAAAAAAAAAAAATAATTACAGGTCTGTGGCTACTAACAGCCATTAGGTTTTAGGGACCCCTAGAGTTTTTGAATATTCTGGCACATGTTTCAGTGGAGGAACAGCCTTGTACGAGAGAGTGAAGATACCAGATTACATGGAAACAGCCTGGATCAGAATCTGCTGTAAAGAAGTCTTGAACATTTTCCTGCATGTGCGACCTCCCCAGGTGTGTGCAACTTCAGCATGGTGACCTTGCCACTACACCTGCATGCTTATGTTGTACTTTGTGTATCTTTTGCTGCCTTAAAATATATGGTAAAGGTGTTGATTTCTCAGGACTGCAGATAATGTGCTGTGGTCATGAGGATGGCCTTTTGACTGGGTTATTCTCACTGGGTGCTCCTTAAATGTGCTTTTACTGACCTAACAGGCTTCCTGCTAAACCTAAGCAGATTATGATGGGAGGTGGGGTGAGACTGGGACCTGGGATTGGTACTGAGAGCTGGGGGACTTTAAAAGGACCTTCACAGAGACGTGTGCGTGTGTGTGTGTGTGTGTGTGTGTGTTGAGGTAGTATTGATTTATCACATTATATAGGTTCCAGGTGTATAACCTTTGAAAGTACATACTATTTCTGTCACAGAATTCTAGTTTCCATTCATCGCCCTGCAGTTGACCACTCTTGCCTAACTTACCCACCTGTTTGCTTGTTTTGCAATACTGGTTTCTAATGAATTGATCTAAGTAGCATTTAATGTTTTTTTTTTTTTTTTTTTTTTTTTAGAACTCACCTGTGCACTTAACAATACTACTCAACTGCAGACACACACAAAAAGGTTAATAAAGGGTTTATTTACAAGATATGAGGAAATAAAGAAATGGATAACAGGGATAAAGAGAGGGAGATAAATTGGTAACTGCATCCCATCAGTTCCAGGTCACACTGAGAGCTGGTGAAAAGCCAAGAGTCAATCCAAGAGGCCAAGAACTCAAGAGTCAAAAGCCCATAGAGCAAGAGACCCCAAGGCCCACATGTCTGGTTTTACACCAAACTTGGCCTCCTAACTTCACCCTCAGATCCCAGCAATGCCTCTTTTGGTAATGATGGCATTTACAGCTTCCCATGTTTTGATGGCTTTGGTCTGGAGTGGGGGTGGAGTCCACAAAACCTGTATGGAGTTTCTGCAGGGCACCCTTTCTCTCTAACAAAACCATGAATACACACATGGACATGACATGTGCAAGGTATACGGGGCATGATAAGAACAAGGCTATATTCACTACCCAGGATGATGAAATAGAACATGACTATATCCTAGAAGGTGTTAAACATCACTAATTACCTTCCCATTTGCTATCTGTGGGCAGAAGAGTGCTTGTGATTTTGCTGTGAACTCGTATATGTCTCCTGGCACAAGAGTTCCTCTAACTTGAATGTTTAGTGGGAATCTGCATTGTTGCATTGTAGAATATCAGTATATTCAGATTTCATGTTGAAAGAGCAAACTTTCTGAAAGTTTTTACAACCCATCAGCAGTGTGTGTGAGAGCAATACTTGTACTTAATATATGGCTAATAACATTTATTACACTGAATATAAATTTATTTGGATTTATTTTACCTTGTACTTCCTCTTCCTTTTCCCCTTCTATTTTCTTGATTTCTTTTGGATTTATTACTCTTTCTTTTTCTATTATTCTTTTCCTTTCCATTTATCTTATTTGAATTGGGGGGTAAAGTCTTATTTCTCTTTGTTTTGTGGGTACCTTGTAAGTTTTGACTTGTATCCTCAAAGTCAGAAGTTATTTATGAGGCTTACATTTTTTCTGGATAGAAGAACCCTAGAACTTGAATTCTACTTATTCATCTTCTCTATTGCCAATTTATAGATTTTAATGCCTGACATAATCCCACAAATTGTGCATTTTGTCTGATTTTTCCTTTCCTACTTTTTAGAAATCTGATTAGGCAAACATTAGCCTTTTTTACTCTATTCTACAAGCCACTAAATCTTTAATATTTCCTATTTCTTTGCCTCTCTAGACTTCTTTCTGGATAATCTCCATTCTACCATTTCACTAGTTCATCTATTCTATGTACCCTACTTCATTGAGTTTTTACCTTTCAGTCTTATATTTCTAATTTCTGAATTATATTTGAAATTCCCAAATGTGCTCATTCTTTATTTAGTTTTCATGGTAAGTCATCTTATGTGAAATTTCACCTATTTCAGGCTTCTGAAGCCAGGATCAGCAAATTATAACCAACAGAACAAATCCTGCAGTCTGTTTTGTAAGTAGAATTTAGCAGAAGACAGCCACACTCTCTTATTTACACACTGTATATTTGCTTTTGCACTACAACAGCAGAGGTGAGCACAGTCATCCCCTCCTATCCATTTTTAATTATTGCTATTTCTTTGCCCAGGTCTCAGTTTCCTATGGTCAGCCGTGATCTGAAAATGTCCCCTATTATAAGATGACTTGAAAGAAAGAGAGGGCCTCCCTAGTGGTGCAAGGGGTTAAGCAACAGCACCATCACATTATAGCCAACCACTGCAGCAGTAGCTTGACCCCCAGCCAAGGAGCTGACCCACATGGAGCAGCAGACTTCCCTTGTCTTGCCCATTGTTCCACGCAGTGGTGTATTTCAATAGATCCATCTTTTCTGCTTCCCATTCTGTCTCTGGTGAATCCTCTCACCCATCACCCCCATACCTTTGGCCTACTTCCCAGTTCTTGTATGCATAAGTAAATAAAAATAAATCATTAGGGCCCTCCCTGGTGGCTCAAGGGGTTAAAGCACAGCACTGAGAAGCAAAGCCACTTCAGCATGAGTTTGATCCCCGCCTGCCCCAGAGGTGACCCACATGGCGTTGCAGACCTCTCCTGACCTGCCCGCTGCTCCCCTCAGCAGCTTTACTTCATCAGTCAGCCTGTTCTTTTCCCCACTCTGTCTCTGGCGAATTCTCTCACCATCCCTACACTTCTGGCCTGTACCCCAGCTCTGTATGTATAAATAAATCTTAAAAAAAAAAAAACATTAAAAACAAAGAGCCAACATTCATTTTTATAATACCATATAATAACACCAACATTCATTTTTATAACACCATAAATTGTTCTAATTTTTCTACTTTACTATTGCTGTTAATCTCTATTTTATTTTTTATGTTTTTTATACCATAAACATAATTTTTTTTACATTATTCTTCATTTTGTGCATTTTTCAAGCTCAGTTGTAATCCTCATGGGCCTCCCATCACCAATTCACCCATGTGCCATCACCACAGTCCAGTGCACTCTTTCCACCCAATTCTGACCCCATTCCCCCTCCTGCCCCCTTCACCCCCAAATATTTCTGGTTTATATTTGTTCATTGTTTTCATTTTTACTCTATCACATTTGTTAGTCTCTCTCTTTTTTTAAAATTTCC